AGAGAGACTGGAAGGAGGAACAGCTTAATCTAAAGCCACATTAGCACAGGAATGAGAGCACGTAAACTAGTTGTGAATACATTTAAGCTGGAAATCAGAAGAACTTTCTATCAAGTATAGCAGTCAGGCTTGAGGGCAGCCTTCCTGAAAGAGTCATGGGGATGATAAAATTAACCAGGTTTTTGTTGGTACCTGAGGAGCACACACACAGGACTGCAGCACTGCCAGCAGCACGAAGAGCTCACGCCTGGTCAATGAGCCTCCTGCTAATTCTACACCTACAGTATGAGTGGTCCTGTATTCTGTCCTTGCTCTTGTGTTCTGAAGCTGTTGTTAAATGCAGGGAATTCTGGAGGAAATGGGGCAAAGCCTCCAAACAAACATATCCCCCTAACCAGAAGGGGCTGCAGTTTCACTTGTGCCTTGCAGTTGCTTTTCATCTGTGCACCCATGCTACAGTAATGGTGCACATTTTGTTATCCGTCCAGAGTTCACAGCTCTTAATTCCAGCTGACACTTGGGTGCCAAATGAACACATCACAACATGAATGTGGCTGCACATTGCACACACAGTTCTGCTACAGATGAGCCCCTTCCCCCGAGCAGCAGCACCCAGACCAGCAGGCGGCCATCAGGCCTGGCTCATACTGCACCCACAGGGCTGTCCCGAAAACTGGGGCAGTCCTGAGGAGAAACAGCCAGGAGGGGGGCAGCAGGGAAGCCAGCAGAGAACTGGAGAAAGAGTTTTTTGAACCTTACAGCAAAGCAACGGCTACTGCTAGGAACTGGGATGAGGAAAGAACAGCCCTACAGTCAGGAACGCCAATACTACAGAAGGCTGAGCAGGAGCTGCCCTTCTTTTGAGGCCTAGTGGATCCAAGTCAGGGGTGCTCAGCAGGATGCGGTGCTGAGGGAGGATGTCTCTGTGTCCCTGCTGCTGGTACTGGGCCTGGTGTGTGGGCAGCCAGTGGCACTCCAGGCTGAGCTGTGCTCCTGTGGGAGCAGCCAGGATGTGGGGAGATCCCGCCTCAGGTTCAGCTCCTGGCTGCCGCTGCCAGTGCCGTGCTGCCAAGTGCAGGGCTGCGGCTGGCAGCAGTGAGCTGGGGAGTTCTGCAGGCAGGAATTTTTCCCAGTCATGCAGTAAAGAGAATTGCCAGCATTAACCCCAACTCCTAATAAGAAAATACGGCTGCCTCTCGGCGTGGAACAGCTGAAGGTTTTTGGCGAAATACAGACATCGCTCTCCTCACTCAGGTGTAAATTGGGAGGAGCAGGGATTGAGAAGTTCAGTTGTTGCCTTTTCCTCTCTCTTGAATCCAGATGCGCGAGCCCTATGTGTGGTACACGAAGAGGGTGGCAGCCAACTGCAGCTCAACAAGGCTGGCACTCTGCATGCAGGGCTGGCACAATTCCTGCTCCTGGAGCAGGGGCTGATGCAGCTCACGCCTCTCCTACAGCCCCCTGAGCCTCATTCCTTTGCGGTGCTGTTGCTGTCTCGTGTCAGATGTCTCTTCTGCTGTACTCAGGGCTTCTCCTTTCCTTGGGAGATTACGGGGTTAAAAACACAAAGAAGACATTTAAAATTAAAATTAAAACCTATAATAATAATGCTCAGTACTTATCTCACCCTTGCCATCTTCAAAGTGATTTACAAATGTTAACTAATTAATTAATTTCCACATTCTCCCTGACTCAAATTCAAAGTCAAGGATGAAGTGAGCAGGGAAATAGAAAGCATGGTTTTCAGGTGAAGGGCAAAAGGAAACCTCTGCTCCTACCCACTATTTGCTGCAAGGCAAGGCCCTTTGCAGCAATATTCTCATTCTGTGTTGAGCAACTCTCATTTATTTTTCAGCCATACAAAAGGTCTAATTTTATCTGCTACCTTCTGTTTCCTTCTTTTCTTAATGGAGATCTTAAAGGTGCTCCCTTCTGAAAGTGAAGAAACAGAAAGACTTTCAGTGCTGTGCAGATGCCTCTCCATCAAATACATTTAATCCCTCTCTCTGGACACATATGGCACAATGGGGCCTTGAGAAGTGCACAGAGCCATGGTAGTGTCTTGAAAACGCAAAGTGATTGTGTGCCCAAGCTGTGCTCATAACGGACCAGTGCAGAGTACAGCCTGTGATGCCAGAGTATTGCCCACCTTGCTGCAGGCTCTGCAGCCTGAGTGCCAGCTGTGCTCTGCCAGACAGCTGTGCCTGCTTTTCCAGTGGTGGGTTCTCGACAAATGTCGAGAGGTGTCACCACACCGTCCCCATTGCATCGCGTCACAAGCTTGGGGTAGCTGTGAAGTGCCCGAGTGCCTCCCCCATCTGTGCTCTGTTCTTCACAGATCAGTGCTCTTTAACATCTTCACTGATGACACTGGCAATGGGATCAACTACACCCTTAGCAATGTCACCCTTGCAGATGACACCAAGCTGTGAGATGGTTGACACGCTCGAGGGTTGAGATGCCATTCATGGGGACCTAGACAGGCTCAAGCAATGGGGCCAGGTGAACATCAGGAGGTCCGATAAACCCAAGTGTGGGGTTTTGCACCTGGGTTGTGGTGACTCTTGCTATCGAGACAAGCCAGAGGATGTAAGGATGGAGCACAGCCCTGTCAGAAAGAACTTGGGGTTACTGACAGATGGCAGCTGAACACAAGCCAGCCATGTGCCCTCACAGCCCAGAAAGCCAACTGTATCCTAGGCTGCATCAAAATTGTGGCCAGCAGGGCAAGGGAGGTGATCCTGCCCCTCTGCTCTGAGCTGGTGAGACCTCACCTGTAGTACTGCGTCCAGATGTGGAGTCCTCAGCACAGAAGAGACGTGGACCTGTTGGAACACAGCCAGAGGAGGGCCACAGAAGTGATCCAAGAGATGGAACACCTCCCCTACAAGGACGCACTGACAGCTGGGGCTGTTCAGCACGGACAAGAGGAGGCACTGGAGAAACCTGCTGGCGGCCTATCAGTATATGAAGAGGGGCTATAAGAAAGAAGGGGACAGACTCTTCAGCAGAGTCTGCTGTGACAGGACAAGAGGAAATGGTTTCATACTAAAAGAGGGGAGATTTAGATTGAATATGAGGACATTTTGTATAATACGAGTGGTGAGACACAGGAACAGGTTGCCCAGAGCTGTGGTGGAAGCCCCATCCCTGGAAGTGTGCAAGGTCAGATTGGAGGTTTTGAGCAACCTCATCTAGCTGCAGATGTCCCTGTTCACTGCAGGGGAGTTGGACTAGATGACTTTCAAAGGTCCCTTCCAGCTCAAAAGATTCTGATTTACCTTCTGTTCCCCTTCAGAGTCCATTCTCCATTCTCCTCCCTCCCTAGGTTCAAGGCACGGTGGCTTTACAAGTGGCTCCTCTTCCAAAGGACATGTGATTGCTACCTTAGTGCTTCCCTGTTAACATTTCTCCTAGACTTGCCCTTCCCAGAGGTGGGCAAATTTGATGCATGCAGTCATCACTGCATCTCTCAGACATTTGCAAATGCGGAGAGCACAGCAACCTTCCTCACTGAAACAAACAGATGAAGGTGATGCTATGCAGAGGTAGGAAGGCTCAAAATAATTTAAACAAAAGCTGAAAGCATAGTCACCACCCCTTGCTGTGTTTTATGGAAAACAGGACTCATCAAGTAAACTCACTATTGCTGCCAATTAGCCAGACCTCTCTAAGAATGCTGAGACAAACCTGATGTAGATGCCTGCAATCTGCAAATCTGCTCCCACAGGCAGATTTGCCCCTCCTGCCCAGACAACATCATGCCACAACTCTCTTACTTGGTATGTCTGTGTCAGCTGGCTGCACCTGATGCCTTGGTGCATGGGATCATGAATCTGGGGCTGCCCTTAGGGAGCTCCTGACCAGGGACAGATATCACACAGGAGCAGCTGGCATGTCCTACCTGACCTTGCACATGGGGCCTCTGCTACCCACAAAGATGGCTCTGCCTGTAATCGCTGGCAGTTTCTGGGCACAGGAGACATTCATTTCCCACTGGAACTCAGTCTGCAGTACGTCAGTCCAGAACCAGCAAAATAATATCAGTATGACACAAGATGGCACTTTGTGGTGTTTGAGATGACCTCACACCTTGTTACCACTACAAAAATGGTCTCAAACCCTCCATTGCCATACGTCCTTAACAAGCCTTGCCCCCCTCTGTACTGCCTCCCCTCTACTGCCTTACCTCCAGCTCTCATAGGCTTGCATAGGGAAATGATGCAGACGAGTTCATCCAAGCCACTGAATTGAGTAAGTCCCATTCATGCAGACAAAGTTCAGGGTTTTCTGTTGTTACACTAATTATTTGGTGGCTCACTCAGGCACAAAATCCAGATTCAAAGAATCAAATGTTAGCACAGGCAGAACTGAGTGGGTATAGGAGTCACAACGTCAATTTACATCAGCGTACATTGCCACAGAGCCATCATGCAGCGTGACATGCGCAGCTGGCTGCCTCTGCTCCAAGCCAGTCTCATAGATGCATCCTCTGAAGAACATGATGGCTTTATTCTGGGCACCTCACAGCAGACAATTTCACTGGATTTTTTTCAGCGAGACTCTTGGTGTCATCGAAGAACAGGCTGAGCAACACCTACTCTATGGAAACTCCCCAGAAGGGCACTAAGTGTGTTACTGTCATTCGTTTTTCAGACAATTCTCTGTATCATCACTTCCCATTTTTTCCCAAAACCTGTGAACCGAAACAAACACGATTTTTTTTTTCCCCATCAATGCCTGCATCTACCTTTGAGGGTCCCCAATATTCTGGATGCAAAGCAATTACATAAGAGACTCTTTAAATACTATTTAAGGTTAATTCCAGCTTTATGGACTGTTATCTCAACAACGTGGCACTTCCTTCTAGAATGCGAGGTATTCTGAAGGCACTGCACCCATAAATAGGACAGGGGCTCTCCCTATCATGGCTTATTTTAAAATATCTAAAAATTGGTATATGAGATAAACAGACACCAACACAGGAGCACAAGTTTGTATAGATATGTCCATAGATCTATATTTTTATTGTTTATATATATTTATAATATATTTATATTCTTTTAAAAGAATCCCTTCAAAAACTACCCTCCCACCTAGCAAAACAAAGATTAAACAATCAGAGATGGCAGCTGCATCCTGGAACAAGGTGTCCCAGGGGTCTCAGAGAGCCAAAATGATTGCTAAGCACCACTGCACTCTTTCCAAGCTTCTGTGATGCCCTACAGATGCAAAGGTGACAGACAGACTTTTATGACTCTTTAAATTTACCTGCCAAAAGACAGGGATAAAGAAAGAAATGTGATTGTGGTGATGGAACCTTGAGGGGTAGAGGAAACACTAACGCATTCAACTGGAAGCTTAGAGTGTGACATGATTAAAAGGTGGGAAGCACTGCCCAGAAAGGAAGTAAAGAAGACAGAAAAGAGAACATGCAGGAAAATTAGTTGGCAAGACAGATCTCAGAAACGAGCTCAGAAGCATCCCACTTAGGAGGTGGAGGGGTAGCAAGAGTCCCAAGTCTCTTCCTCTCACCCTCCGACCTGTGAAGGGAGATCCAACTAGTTTGATTTAGACCAAATCTTCGCGCTGCCCCGGAGCCTGTGGAGAGAGGAAGAAGTTTTAGACTGGACACTAAACTTCATCTCTGACTTCCTTTTCTAAGTGTACACAAAGAGCAGCTGGCATTCAAGGAAGGCTTATGAGTCGTGCTTCAGATCAAAAGCTGCACCTTCTGAATTAGCAGGAGGCAGAGGTCAGGCTGGACCATCCCAGGTCTAGGGTGCAGACCCCTGCAGTCAGTGACCTCACTGCTACCAAACAGAACTCCCCTGAATACACATAAGGCAGAGGCTATGTTCGTTTGCCACCATTCCTCACCCTTTGGCTTTGGAAGTCTTCTTGCTGGTCTGGCGCTGGTTGGTGCCAGGGGCAGGTTCCCTGAGCTCTGTGAGGTGCTGTTCCGGGTCTTGAGATGTGGCTGCTGCAGCAGCTGCTGTTGTCACTTTAATTGTTTTCTTCAGATTTGCCACCTGTAACAGCAGTGAAACAAAAACCAAGTAATTTCACAAGTTTTTTTCTCTTTTTTCTCCTCTTCCCTTTTTTAAAAGACCTGGAGCTAAGTGCTAACTGCTGTCCAGACCTCTGCAATGCCGAGAAATGTTTAGCTGAATCACAGTTCTTCTTCAGGCACAACCCCCCAAGGGTTTTAGCATAGGTAATGCCTTACTTGAGCAAGGGCTGTAAGTTAACAACAGGATACTGGTTCTATTCTTTCTTTAAGCAAGGGGTACTGCCTTCTCCCTCTTCAGCCCACTCACCTCACTCTCTATCTGCTGCTTAAGTGCCAGCTGTTGTTCTTTGTGTTGGTTGGCTCGGCTAACCTGTTCTTCAATGCCAGACAAGACAACTTCACAGCCCTGGCACCTGTAGAGAAAACGTTAAACTGAACAGGACATGAAGATGATAGATTTAACTGTAGAGAGCAAGAATTCTGGAAGGCAATGGCTACTCTAGGCAGGATAGGCACAGGGGCGCCAGTCCAATGTAATAATGTAGTGACATTATTACCTAGGAGGGAGACACATAACAAAGTGGCACTAGGTTAGGAGCTACAGACATATACTCAGAAAGACTCTTGCCAGCAGGTGGGACTGGATGCAAAATTTGCTGCAGTCTTCCTCACCCCTCCAATGTGGAAGAATTTCAAAAATTATTTTCCACTGCCGTAAGGGAAAAGGGATAGAGAAGGTCACACTGCTACGCTGCCCTCCAGCAACACACAGAGGACGATCTGGCGAAGCCCCTGACCATTCCTGCAACCTTTTAAGGTATTAATATGGGCGGCTTCCTCCTCACCACTCCTGCAATGTGCGGGTGATGGTGCTTAGCTCCTCCCTCCGGATGTCCCTCCCAATGCTGTAATCCACCTCCAGGCGCTGGTTCCGCTGATCCAAGCTCCCTCGCAGCACATCTGCATACACCGCCTCGATCACGAGGTCCTCCAGTTGCCGGACATTCTTCAGCTGTAACTGCTCCAGCAACACCGAATAGGGGATGCACTGTGGGGACATGACAGTAATTACCACGAGGTAAACTCAGAAGAAGGAAAACTAGAGGTAAAATAGGGGGATTACCTTGATCTTGGCAGCCAGAGTGACGACTGACAGGTGCCTCAGTTTGTTCTTCTGAGCCTCTGTCAAGGGAGGCAGGTTTGCTGCTTCAGCTGTCGTCAAAGGGAAGAAGCAGGTATTAGAATTCATACCTCATTTTCTATTACCCAGTCCTGCAACGGAAACATTTGCACCAGTCCCATTTCTTAGAGCTTCAGCACACCAATCCCCAAAGCGATGCTTTATCTTGACAAGCCGTCACCATTAATCCACAGCTCAAAGGACCTTTTCCGAGCAGCCTCTCCTCTCCTCCATTTCAAGCCACTCCTCTAGCTGTCCCACACCTTATTTATGGAGGCTTCCGCATCCCAATGGATTCCTCAGTCCTTCCCTCCACTCCTCACAAACACCGTTGCCAAGATGCTTTTGGAAGTTCCCCATGCAGCACACAAATGGCAGCACGCAAGCAGCAGCGCCTGTTACTGTGGGCCTCCTCGGCCCCATGCCCAAACACAACCTCGCCCCCAGCCTGGTGGCACAGGGCTCAAGCCCCCGAGCCCGACCTCACCCAGGTAGTCGGCGTAGGTGCCATAGGCGAAGATGGTGAGCAGGTGGAAGACGGGAGAGAACTCGGAATCGGCCAGCTGCGGGACAGAGGGAAGAGTCAAGCCCCGCCGCGCCCCAGGCCCAGCCGCGGGCAGGGCAGTGCAGGGCAGGGCAGGGCAGGGCAGGGCAGGGCGTGACGGGGCGGGCTCACCTCGCGGACGGCCGGCATGTCCAGCAGCTCCCCGAAGACGTAGATGCCCGGGGCCTCCAGCACCTGGTGGATGAGACTGGCGAGCGCGGCGCCGCGGGCAGCCTTGGCCAGCAGCAGGAACTGTTCCTGGCTCTGCCCCGTCACCTTCCCCTCGGCCGCCATCCCACCGCCGCCGCCGGGGACTCGGTCCCGCCGCGATGGCGTCCCGCAGGCCCCGGCCCCGCCGCCGGGCGCCACCTCCAGCCCGCCCCGAGACCGCTCCTCTATGGTGGCGGCGTCGCACGACCGTCAGCTTCCGGGTGTGACGCCACGCGGGCAGAGCGGCGGGGCGCCCCCCGGCGGCGGAGGACTGCTCGGGCGGGGCGGGCCGGGCGGTCCCGCGGGCGGCTCCCGGTGCTGACCGGGATTGCCGTCTGCTTGGCGCCGTTGGGCTCCTCGGAGCTCGGGGCCAGGCCAGAGCTTGGTCTCCACGCTGAGGCTGCCGGCAGGAAGGGGGCCCAGTGCTGGGAGGCCGAGGTGGAAGTCTGAGTTATAATGGTGGCGGCTCCGCCACTCGGATGGCGTGGAAGTGGCTCGCTGCTCACCACAGCCACAAGCATCGCCGCGAGCGCTGTGGCCAGGGATGTGGGGAATGGCCGTGATTACTCTCAGAGATAGCGAGGCCTGCGGTTCTCCTTACGGAGGGATCGAGGGAGGAGAAGGGCTGACAAGGTCGAGCAGGGGCCGTGCAGGTGAACTACAACACGAGGTATAACTATCTCCTTCCTGCGTTCACCTCTCCATTCCTGTGCTTAGGTCTACTTCACCACACCCTGACACCTGGTGCATCCACCGACACCAGTGCAGGGTGCATTCTGATCAGGTTAAAGCATAGCCCTGCTGCTCTGTAGCATGTACTGCTCTCTCCCCCGCCCCCTCGTTGGCTCCTTCCATCTCAGTTTTATCTTCCTATCGATCTGTTTCTCTCACACTCTCTGACACGCTTGCTGCCTTTCATTATTAGTCCGATAAAGCAAGGCAGCCTGAGCATCCCAGCTGCACCAGCCTCCCTCCGTTCTCCTCCTCCGCGCTGACCCCAGGTCCTGTGTGCTCTTTGCAGGGTCACCACAATTTTTCTTCTCCTTTGTCCTGCACGGAGCTAAAACAAGGGCAAGGAATGAATCACACCCTGAGCTCTCTAAATGAGAAGGCCATCGTCTTGTGGGCAATGTGAGCGCACGGTATCTTACCCATAACTTAGCAAAGTCTTTGCCTCATCCCTAGATCAGAACAACAGATGTTGAGATTAAATTTCGGATTTTTGGAGTCTCTAAGTCCCATGATTTCATTCTGTTACAAATTCTTGAATGCCTATCTTAACATTACAGGGTAACTGTGAAATGAGATGTCTGTGTAACCTGAGTCAAACGTTAGGTGTCAAAAGTAGGAGTGCAGATGAACACAAGCCTTTACAGCGTTTCCAAATTTTAAGATGAATCTCATAATATCGGGAGGTTGTGGGTTATTATTTCTGAGTGTTGGGGATTTGTAGTCCTCTCTGCAGCTACCTCTCTCTTTACCCCCCTCTTCCCAGAATGAAAGTACCGTTCTTTTCCTGCTGTAGATCCACCTTCTTTCCCATGTACCCACTGCCCCACTTTAGAGCCTGCAGGGTCTGCAGAGTCATACTGTATTGTTCTAGGTGGCTTCTCTCTTTACCACTGCAAAATCAAAATGACTTGTCAATATGCTGACAATATTTGTTCTCTAGCCCTTCTCCAAACATGGTCACATCTTCTGAGATGATTTTTCACAACTCTGTGCAAGTGCCACAGACTCTTAGGCAAAGAGCTTGTAAGAATGGGGCAAATCTCTTTGGCACGCAACATGATCAGGAAGATTTTTAACCCTATAACTTGTACTAGGTTAACACACAGGATGGTAAGACCTGTGCCTAATTACATCTAGGACAGCCTGACATCTATTGCTTATAAAGGAGTTTAAGAGGAGGGTGGCTGCACAGTAATTCTTATTCCCATGCACTCTCACTGCCCTTGGGAATTTGCAGATCAGGAACTCTTTTTTTCAGACAGCCTCCAATCATGATTCTCCAGAAGAGAGAGGAACTTTCACCTCACATGGTGACCTGTGTCTGTGATTAGGCATTGCCCAGTGACTGGCTCTCGTTTATTCTCTGCCAGAATACCTGGTATGCTTTTCCCCAGGAAGGAAGTCATGCTGTAGTCAGGTCATGTCTCTTTCTGCTTTTTGATAAGTTAAACAGGTTGACCTCTTTAAATTACTGAGATCTCTAGCCTTCAGATCGTCTTTGATTCAGAGTTATTTTTAAAGCATGGACTTCAGCACAGAGAGGCCTGATCATCTCCCTTCTTCTCACTCTTGTCTTTGCACAGCCAGGCACTTCTGCAGTATTGTCCACAGAGACTGTGCTGGTGTTGGTTTTTGTTTGTTTGTTTTCTGTCTGATTCCTTTTAAGGTACCTTTTTTTCAGTACTGAAAGTTGCTCACTGTAGACATAGTCTTATCTACTTCGTGGACATCTTTTCCTTTTCACAGCTGTACAATTTGCTCTCATCTGTCTTACAAGAAGTTTTAGGAGAGTGACCACCTTACCAATGCAACAGGTGATTCTGCACTGGCCCTACCCTCGTTATTTTTAATACTAACAATATTCGTGTCTTCAGCAAACTGTCAGAATAAAACATATCTGCTCACCAAGCGCTGAATTAAATAGTGACTTACACCGGACCAAGGACTCATACTTGGGCATCCACATCAGAAACTGTCACTCAGTGAGGGGCTTTCAGATGTGGGCCCTTTGCATTTGGTTCAACACAGTTAACTGGTCCACTTAATCTCCTGCTCTGTTAATATTGTGTAAGGCTGTTTTTTCCTCACCAGATTGTTTTGGGATATTAATGCTTCCAGAAGCCTAAATAGATCTAAGCCATCACCTATTCCAAATAAACCTGAAGTCACATCAAAGACTGACAAGAACAAAACAAGTTTATGCAGCAAGATCAGTCTCCTTCAAATCAGGCTGACTGGCGTTAGCTGAAGAATCTCATATCAGCTCTTCTCTTGCTTTGCCTAGAAATTTTCAGGTCTTCTGTTTGCTCTTTACAAACACCAGCACAGCACCGCTCTTCTCCAGTCTTCTGGGACATCTCTGAAATTCCAGAACTTATTAACAAGTTGTTTTTTGAGCAATAGGACTGAGGAACCTGGCTTCTCTAAGGATCTGTTGCCTGTATTTTATACTTGCCATGCCATCAGCCGAGGTACCTTGATGACACCCTTTCTGCAATGTGCCACAGCTGCAAGTCCTTTCCCCTTGCCTGTAGCCAATGCCTTGGGCTCCTCCTTCACCACTCTCTAGCACACACAGCTTCCTCAGTATTTTCTGCTCAATTTATTTCAGCTTGCTGGCCAGACTGTTCTGCCCAGCAGGGTTTTGCCCAGCAGCATGGCCATGGGGTCTCCTCCAGCACAGTCACCAGCAGCATCTTTGTCTGACTGCTGGCTCTCTCTCATACAACTTATTGGAGCTTATTTACCTTTCAGACTCTGCTTCATTTGTCAAGCCCAGCTGAATGCGGCCCATGGCAACTGAAGATGAGCTGATGGACTGATGGACAGCAGAGCAACTGCAGGAGCCTCACTGCCCTCAGGACACAAAGCTAAATCAGAGCAGCAGAGGTCCACTTGGCCTCAGGACTGGTGTAAATAACCTCTACGTGATGAGCATGCCAGGCAGAAATAACAGCCTTCCATCTTTCTAGGTGCGATGGTGCAGAAGGTACACTATCGATCCTGGTCCAAATCTTGGCCAAATACACAGCAGAGGGAGTTTTCACATTTCCATCTTCATTTTGTCTTCACATCACCTTTACTCGAACACCCTCAGAATAACACTTCCTTCTTAATATATCTCTCATCTTCTCTTTTCCACAGCCATCCACCTGCAGCTCCAGCAGCCCACCCGATGCAGCTCTTCACTCAAATGTCCCTGTTGTTTCTTTCAGCCCATCCCAAGTGCCTCCTTTTGCCACTCTGCTTTTCCAGACCCATGCTCCCAGAGAAGCGTGCCTTTCCCTTTATGTCAGGTGAGAGTGATGTAAGCATGACATCAGCTCCTGCACTTGCTGTTCGCGTTGCCCCAATTCCTTTCCTGACTTCTCTCACACCTCCCAGGGTTTCCTTGATCCCTACAGCATCTTCCTCCTCCTCCTTCTCTTTCCTGCCTCTGGCTTCCTTCTGCAGTTTTGCTCTTCAGGGGGATTTTTCGTGTTTACGTCATTTGGATTTTCGCCCTTTAACTGACCTTTCCCTGGTTGAATTTTCTCAACTGTTTTGTGCTTCCCAATTATTCTAAACACATTCATCATAATTTGAAAAGGTCAGAAGGAGCCTGCCTGGCTGAGGTAGCCCCTTCCAGAGCTTTCTGCCTTTGGCTCCCCTTGGAGCCCAACCACGACAAGTCTCCAGTCAGTGCTGTCCTGTCCTGTCCTGTCCTCTAGCCACCCTGAGCAGTGGCGTGCAGGCACATCCAGCCATGCACAGTCACTGTCCCAAATGTGAAAATCCCATGGACGCTTCCAAAGGCTTACAAAAGCCCTGATGGGTGGAAGGTGTTCACAGTCCTGCTCACAAGTGTGGGAGGGAACTCACGGAGGGTCTGATGGACGGCAGCAGCCCCAGAGCCCTAAGGTCTGTCGGAAAGTGGCACAGCCTGTTCCAGGCAACGCGCTGCACTTGGGCTGTGTACTGAGTGCCCTTTGGTCACCTGTGTCTGTTCCTGGTACTGTGGCAGGTTGCTTCATAGAGCAGCGCCATCTGTACTATTTCCTGTTTTATCAGGGTCAGTGACAGCCTTTCCTCATCACTTCATGATGAAAAGTTTGATTGTTTCTGAGGATTTGAGGAAATTGCTTTCTGGCTCCCTCATATTTCAGACCCTGGAGTGGAAGCTGCCTTGATGCCTCCGACTTTCATCTCCTACCCAGGGCTGCTTGGCAGCCGCCTCCTGATTTGGCCTGTGCCTGCTGATGGTGCTGATGGTGGAGGGCGAATCTCCCTGCAAAACACGCAGCCCCTCCGAGGCACACAATCTTTTTTCTCTCCTTTCACCGCCACATCCCTGCCATCTCCAGACGCATCCATCGATCCCCAGCAGAGACAGC